CTGATATGTAGATTTGGCCTGGATACATGTGCTTGTGTCCAAGACAATCAAATTAGCAGCAGCACTACAGTCAGTTCAGACTGTGGCTAGAAAGAAACACACTATTTACAAAGCTTTAAAAGTTCATTTACATGGATTGCTTAGATTTGGACCATTTGTCACAGATGTAATCTAAGCAAAGAACTGTGCAACCCTCTAGCTATTTTGCTCTATAATTCCCACCAACCCTAGCCAACTTAGTTAATGGTGAGGGATGTGATGGCAGCTGTGCGTTAAAACAGCCAGACAGCCACAAGTTACTCACCAAGGGCATTATATTAATACAGTATAATGTGTTACGGTGCCCTATCATGATCCCATTTTGGCAAGAGGTTTTCAGGAATTCCAAACTGATAGAAGGAGTGTATCTCAGTGGGAGGGCACAGACTTTATGCATGCATGTCCCAGGTTCAGTTTCTAGCTCCCCAGTTAAAGGATGTCATGCAGCAAGTCTGGAAAAGCCTTCCAGAATGTCTGCCTTTGCATGCAGACACGACTGGGCAGGTGGACTAATGCTTTGCCTCAGTCTGGGGCTATCTGCACGATGGCACTGAGGGAGAGGCGAGCCCTTGGTTTATTTCTCTCAGCGCAATCGTTTCAGCAAGCTCCAGTTACCTCTGCTCTACGCACATGTGACATTTCCCTAACTCTTCTTACTGGAAGGAGAAACATTCTCAGAGAACGCAGCAGTGACCCACTGGTTCTTGGGGAGCTGCTGTCCCCCTCAAAGAAGCCATGAGAGAAAGTGGGCTGTGCCAGCAGGGGTCATCAGCAGCTTTCTATGAGCAAAGGGCCAGCATGCTAACCAAGGTGAACACGCTGCTGCGGCTTGTTAGCCACACTGCGGTCGTGCAAACCTGGTCAATATTAAAAAAGCTCCCCATGTTTTTTCCTCGTGCAAGCTAGTTCTAGATCCCTACTCCCTGCATGTTGAGAATTCCAAATGAACTCCAATTGCAGTTGCACTGATAATGGATTCATATAAAATTTTAACCAAATGAGTTATGTAGCACTCATACTGTTCACAAGATTTAAATACACAAGGCTGGACCCAGCATCTTCTTCCACGAGAGGAAGAGCTTTGCACATTGCTGAGTTTTGGGGATTCTCCCCCAAGTCACCCCACTGAGAAAGAGCTTTTGACTTTGTGTAGCATTTCAGGGGCCTGAAGTGACTGCTGTGGGAAAGGGGCTGGGGAAGTTCACCTCTGCCAGCACAAATCTGGATCCAACCCATAATTCCCAGTTCTTTTATACTGTGTTGGTATTTAACAAAGGACCAAGTTTCTGAATGCACATGAAATGTCTGTACTTACATCTAACATCCAACCATCCCAAGCTTAATTCAAAAGCTCAATTTATTCCTGGCACAATCTTGGTTTTTCTCTGGTTCACATGAAACAACCCAGAGTACAGGTTGAGCATGGATTGTTGAATTCTGAGTAGTTACAAATGAATCCTGCACTATGGATTTGCTATGGGTTGTTAATCACTGATGGATGATCCAGGAAAGAACACGTGGTCTGTTGTTGGGTTGTGTACTCTGGGATTGTTTGTGGTTTAACAGTCCATAGTTAAAGTGCAAGCTGTGCTCATAACCCACAATTCAACAAGTCATGAGTCAATGTCAACTCATACTCAACCCATGTTTGAATTAAGTCTATGTTTGCAAGTTTAACCATACTCACATTATGAGTACAATGAGATTTTCACTAGCCTAAACTAGATGAAGCTGAAGCACTGAAGGTGACATTTATTTTCAGCCACAGAAAACAGGCTTTGCAGGGAAAACCCTTCAGAACTATACGCTACTTAAATTCTGCTGATGCCTCCCCAAAAAAGGAACTTCAGTTGTGTGTAACAGTGGCAATGCGGAAGTCAGTGGAACCTAATCTACCACACACACCATTTTATATACTACAGAAAAGATCTCAGCCACATACTGGTATAAATTGCTCAAAAGCCTACAATTCTTCTCCAGGCTCACACATCTCAGTGAGAGTTAAATTTCCAACAAAGTGTTAAATTAATCTGAAATGTTCTGGCTTAGCTGAGGTCAGCCAGGGGTGTTCATGCCCTCCCCAGAAAAACCAAGTTCTGTGTCAAAATCCCCCAGAATTCTGCAACCTGAAAAATTATGGCATAATTTGCATAATCTTAGCTTGCATAATGTCTCCTTGTTTTGTTGAGCAGGAAGATGATCAAGGAGCTACACAGTGAATGGAAGCCACGTGCCTCACTTTTAGAAATTGGTATTTCAGAAGGTCTACACACTTACTAACATATCTTAATGCCTAGAGAGCGGCTTTAAACCATGAACAACTGAAATCTAAAATTCTCCAAAGAATCACAGCATACATGCAACACCAGATATTGTGAGTTTGTTCAGTGTTGGCAGGTTGGCCTGAATTACAACTTTACACAGGGGTAGACAACCTGGGAAATAGACTGACAGTAGAAGCTGAAGGAAGGGCAAGTTACCTGAGGCAAAGGGGATCAAGCTGGGGACATGAGGTAAGAATGACCTGAAACACAGGAACCTGATGGAGCAATGGCTGCTCGAGACACAGAGACCAGGAAAACCAGCCAGCAGTGTGAGAGTTCTGCTGTTTTGATGGGAAGGATGAGGCCAGGAAATGGGGAGCTGGAAAGGAATCGGGGTGAGAGAACACACAGAAGCAGGCCTAAGCCCTGACAAGGGAATTCTGCAAGTTGTAGCTTCTTCCACCAGTACTGCACTGTGCCTGAGAATGAATACAAAGGGCCAAAACACAGAGTTGTGTATGGATTTCCCATAATTGACCTAAGCATTTATTTGGCTACAGGACTTCTGATAACTGCACAATAATGTTTTAAAGCGCTAGGCATGCTGAAGCCATGGGAAACAAGTGCATGCCGTCATGAAGGGCATCTTTGTCAAATGGGAAGCTCCAGCAATTGGGTGGAACTGTTAGTTCCTTCAAAGGTTTTTGTCCCCTCCAAATGTCACTGTTCCATTTCGTAGAACCACCCACCACAAAGCTTCCTGCACAGTTGTCGCCACAAATGGTGTTTTTGAAAAGCTGGTCTATTTATCGCTCAACCAGTGCTGAGCCTGCTTTGTCTGTCTTTCTTCAAATGACATGCATCCCAACTCCTTAATCATCGTCTTGGCTATAATGCCGTTCCTTATCTTACTGTGAATTTTGATCCATAAGAAATTATGTTCTGGTTCCTTGCCCAAATGCATTTTTGAACATGCGTATCATACCACTTTTGGAAATATACTTTTCTTACCAATAAAGATATTTCATTTTCTTTAGTTACTGAGCAGCAAAGGACCCTGGAAAATCAATTTGTTCCACTAGTTCCATAACTGTCTAGCTAAGAAGGGCAATCAGTTTTTACTGCTGCCTTCCATAAAGCACAAATCTATGCATGTTTATTCAGAAGTAAGTCCTATTATATTCAGTGGGGTTCTGTCCTAGTAAGTGTATTTGGGTCTGCAGCCAAATATCCTCACAGGCAGAAGCAGAGAGCAAAAAGTTCTCAAGCTGTCTTATGCATTCATTTATCTGAATGATATGTTGTCCTCTAGATTAGAGGGAAAATAATTTTTATGCTAGTGCCTTAAATGTTGATTGAGATGTACTTAGCTTGCCCTGAACACATTTATAAACTTGAAAAAAAATCACACATGGAGTAGTATTGCAATAACTGATTTAGGGATGCCGAAGAATTTGATTTCTTTTCTTTTCTAGTTTTTTTTTTCCTTTGAATGCTGCCTGGCCAACCCCTGACCCCCTTCTAAGCCAGAGCACAACTAATTTAAGTTTCAAGAGAGCCTTGTTTTTCTGTATGTCTGAGAAACACAAGTGTATCCCCCAGGTGCAGCTAGTCCTACAGAATTCGGAGGGTTGGGTTAAACCTCAGGGATTAGGCTGCAAATTTCTGAACAAACTTGCATAGAATCAGGCTCCATTTGCAGCACACATGTTAATAGGAAGAACAGGTCTTGACTCCAGGCCTTGTCGTGGTCTCAGCCTAGGGACAAATAGGTCTTCAAATGTGTACCATTATTTCCTAACAGGAACAGTGTGGCAAGTTAAAACGTTGCACGCAGCCTTAGGAATGGCTCAAATACCATGCTACAACATTTGCAATACTTTTCTTACTTTTGTCAATTATCTCAATTTCCATTTTGGTATACACATGGTTAATTTCACTTAGGTTTGCTTTCTGCGACCTTTATGATTCACGCGGCTGTCTAGGTATGACTATAGCTATGTAGACACACACATAAAATGGAGAACAATGGAAGATTTAATATGCTGTACAGAATGAAAGTGCAAGTGTGAGGCAAACGGGAAAACTCAGCACCACCATTGGCGCTACGGCCAAATAGTGCTGAAATTACATGGGTGAGTTAAAGTATCCAGAGCGCTGGTAATGAGTCACTCATGCAAGTGACGCTGCATGCCTTTTAACGAGAAAGAACGTTCAGAACAGGCAAGGGCGACATATTGTTACAAAAACAAAACCAAACCAAACCCAGGTTTGTTTTCAGCTTCAGTGCTACTCTTTGCAAATATGAAATCTCTCTTCTTTCTCCTCCTTTTTTTACTTACAGCACCTGCCCCTTCTCCCTGGGGTTTCTACAGCAACAAAAAGGAACTTTGTTTGTTAATCGGCCAGTTAGAATTACACTTAATTATTCTCCTCAACTGCAAATAATCCCAGTTTGAGTTTCAAGCAAGTAATCCTGGTTTTGCAGAAACTTCCACCTTCCTACACGTTCTCAATGCTTTAGTAGACAAAGAAATATAGAAAGTGAAGCTTTGCACCACTGCAGTTAATAAGAAGGAAAATTAAGGGATGTTATCCTTTTCTGCATTTGACCCCAACATGCAGCAGTTTGAAATCCTATTTTAAAAGCTACGTCGAAGCCATTTCATCCGCTTTCATATGACAAGGCAAATGCACTAATGGAAAAAGCATTTTTATAGGTTTAATATTCTTACAGTATCGCTGCACTATCAAGACGAGTTTATTGATTTAGCTGTATTTTCTACTTAGATGCAGATGTGATGATGGTAAAAGAGACTTCAAATCCTTAGGGTGGGTTTTTACCTGCAAGCATCTCAGATCTTTTTAAAGATGTGGTCAGCCTACATGGAGATGACCACATCTCCCAAAATGCAGAGACCCTTCTAGAAACAAGTGTCAGGCAAGTTCTTTATTGGTCCCAGGCCTGGATGACACATCACTTAATTAATAATCAGCTGACAACGTGCAGCTGAATCTGCAAACTACCTCCATTGACAGGTATTCATACGACATGATATGCAACCCCTGTTAAATTTGATCTGTCATGATTCTCTCTCACACACAATCATTTGATTGTGTAGTAATGCAGAGCTGAAAGTGTATCTGTGAACATCTTGTGACCCTAAGTCTTGAAAATACAGGAGATGCAGGTATCTGAACTGCATACTTTTCAAAAATCTTACTGAGCCCATAAAGACAATCACCTCACTTGTTACTTCTTTCTCACACTTTGGGGAAACCAACACACCTTACTTTAAAGCTTCACATGCTTTCTTTAAAGGGTACCATCTCTGTCCATATCGGTGCAAACTACACTTGAACTTTATTCATGGATCATTTTCTCTTGTCCATCACGGTACTGGATAACTCCTTCCAACAGCTGATATGAACAGATAAAATCCCAAATAGGATATTTGGATCTCCCAAAAGATGGATAACAACATTTCCCTGAATATTTATAGATACTGCTCTCTCTTTGTGTGGCATGTATATGTTCATAAACAGAGAGCAAAAGGTACATGGAAACAGATCCTAAGTGTAGCATATATAATAAGTTGAACACTGGGATACAATGCATGCACAATACCTTCAACAATCAAGCAGTGAAACCTTCCCAGGAGTGTGTCCAAAGCAGCCAGCCAAAGTTTGCACACACAGCTGCTTGTTTCACAGCAGTGGATGTATCAGCTGAACTCCTGCACTTCAGCCCCTCTTTTCTCCATTGTGTCAAATCAGGGGCTTCGAAAGACACCTTTATTTCATATTGCAAGAATGTTTCTCTGCTCTGTTCTTGATTTGCTCTTGCTCAGGAAGCAGCACCTTCTTCCTATTAGATGGTCACAGGGCACATGATGATCCGGTCTTCTAGAAGCACGCTGATGATCAGGAACACAAAGTAAAGCCCAAACATGGTGAAGCCCAGGAATTTGTTCATCCTCCACTTGCAGGCCGCAATAGAGAGGATGACAAAGAGCAGCATGATGAAGAGGAGGACGATAGCACAGAAGAGCCCGTTGCTGCTCACTGCCACTGGGCTGAAACTGTTGATGCAAGCGTAGAGGAGCCATGGAAGAGGAAGGCTGGTGGGAAAAGAGACCATTGGAAAAGCTCGTGAAGACAGGGCTGACGATGCAGAAAGGCGGTCTGGCTTAACTCCAGGTGGCAACTCGAAAGATTACCAAGAGAGAGCACCGAAACCTTCCTCTGGAAGGCGAGGGTCCTGGTTTCTTTACATTAGATGGGACAGGTTTAGGACGTAGTGTTAACCTGACACTTACAGCTTCAGAAGAAGGCAACAAGAGGGAGACTACATGTTCACATATCCTGCAAGGACAGCTCGTTTTGTAAACTTTGAGGCCTTGGAGAGAGGATGGGTCAGAAAAACTAGAAGCATATTTTCCTGCACAATCAGGACTTTCCACTGGAAATTATCATAAAGCCAGCACAGTATCTAGAAAATGGTGTCAGAATCAATATGCGTAGCTGGGGTTTTAATACAGAGATCCCAAAGGGAGAGGCAATACTGAAATGAGGAATAAAAGTCCCCCCACAAGGGAAACGGGGGAAATTGTTTTACCATCCCTTAATTAAAGGTCAAGTAAGAAGCCTCATAGACCACCCAGCTCCTGGGTCAGCTCTTTGCTACCGCTGGAGGGTAAGAATAGGCAGCTTCGCACCAAAGCCTGATCTTTAAGTATCCTGTACTAAATGAGGGCAGAACCAGGCCCATAGGCCAAACCTGGCCTGCTGAGCTTCCCAAGCAGGCCAAGCCCCCTGTCCCATGACAGCTGCCTTCCTGAATTTGAAATTTATCCCCCATTCTAAAGGCTTGAAGTGCCTCTCCTGAGGGTTAAAATATGTTGACCTTTTTGGTAGTCCAGTCCTGGTCCTTTGGAATGGCCCTCAAAACCCCTTGTATTGTATTGGCCCATGGACTGAAAGAGGTTCACCACCACTGCTAAACACAGTATTCTCCTACTCGCTATTCCTTCTTAGTACAGCTGATCTACTACAGGACCATCCACAATCCATAGTTGAGGAATGTTATGAGACAGCAGCTCCTCTGCATATTTTCCAGCCAGCTCCAAGAAAGATGCCAATGATTAATGCGAGCTGATGGAGCTTTGGGCTTCCTGCCACCTTGCACTCGCTACATCAGTGGGCCAAAAGGGTTGAAGCCAGATCAGGAAACAACTTGCATGCCTATCACTCTTCTGTTCTACCCATTCTATCTGCTAGAATGAGTAATGAGGAACAGATGGAGCCCAGACGTGCTCACTTGCTTCGAATGACACACCAGTAGAGCTGGGAGAGGTCCATAAAGCCATCAGGGCCAACCCCCCGCTCAACACAAGGCCCCAAATTGAAGCAGCCCTAATGGATGGCTGCCCAGCTATATCTTGTAACTGCCTTGTGGAAGAAAGCTACCTGAAAAATACTGTGTGCAGAAATAATCTTTCTTGAGATTTAATATTTTTAATATGGGATTTTCTTTTAAGCAGCAAGCAAAAATAATTCTAGGTGCCATTATGAAGTTCTATTCTGTGACTTGGTTTCAGATGGATGATTTTCAAAAAATGGGCTGCACTTACCCCACTGTGATGTCAAAAATGTTGCTTCCCACAGAGCTGGACACTGCCATGTCCCCCAGTCCTTTCCGTGCCACAATAACACTGGTAATTAGATCAGGGATGGATGTGCCAGCGGCTAAGATGGTCAAGCCCATGATCTCTTCACTGATGCCAATGGTCTCTCCAACCTAAGTTGAAAAGAATGCCATGAGATCAAGGAAGCAAGCCTTGCAAAACATACTTAGAAAGGGGCTGACTTCTTGGCCATGCAGGGCTTCCATTTGCTGCTTTGTGATTCAGAACCTTTTGCCTTAGCTCAAGGATCCCTAGACCTTTTGGATGTGTGGGTTGCACATCTGGAATCCCGGCAGTGCTGTGGGCACTCTCACAACATGACTGCCATGTTTAGAAGACCTATTTCCCAGAAGGCAAATTGGCAACTTGTCCAAAACCCTAAGTGCATGGAGAGGTGGGGCCTGTGCAAACCATTTTATGGGACAGAAACAGTTAAGTAGTGGAAAGAATCTGAGTTGGTAGTGATGCCCTGGAAATCTGCCAAAGGGCAGTTGCAGAAATATGACTCATGCGTACATGAGAATAATGATGTGCATATATCTGAGACTTAAGTAGCAACTAAAGAAATATCTTCTGTCTCTACACGAAATGAAATGGTACCACCAATGAAATGGTAGTAAGATACAATCTGAGTTGGTGGAAAAGATTTATTTATTTTTCGATTTATATCCTGCCTTTTTCCTACAAAGGGCTCAAGGCAACTTACATCTTCTCTCCTCCTCCATCTTATCCCCACAACAACAACCCTGTGAGGGAGGTTGGGCTGAGAGTCTGTGATTGGCCCAAAGTCACCCAGTTGGCTCCATGGCTGAGCGGGCACTCGAACCCAGAACTCCTGAGTCCCAGTCCCATGCTCTTAACCACTACACCACACTGGCTCTCATGGTGCATGCTACTTTATATAAATGTCTTGGCAGGAAGGCAAGGGGATGCCATGTACCCAGCAGATCTTCCAGCATGCAGAAAATAAAACAGTGAACTCAAAATTCTGGGTATGAAAAGTCATTTTCCACAAGCTGTTGTCATGAACCATTCAGTCATGTCCGACCCTTGGCCCCTCTATGGATCATTCATTGCTCTCCATGCCTGCCCGCCCTTCAGCAAGTATTAGCTCTAAAACACAAAACCACTCCTTTGTGCGCAAATAAAAGTAGTGCCTGAGTTTGCAGTGCTCTAGTTATTATGATTATTAGGAAAGCAGGAGGGTCAGGAACCTGGTGATCACCAGGAGATGCATCGGCAGGCAGTATGGTACCCGTAGGCACATGCTGGAGATCCAGTCATAGCTGAGGGCCTTCAATATTTATTATGTCTCATGAAGACTACATCTAGCCATCTTCTCAGTATAGCTTTGCTGAAGCTGGCAACTCTGTTGGTGAATATGCTTTTGCACACTGTGTACCTTTAGTGTTTTATGCTATTTTCAATGTTGGTCAATTTTATTTTCTTGAAGCTTTCTTGTGTTTTTTTTACCCTTTTTGGTACTTTGTATTGAAGGCCTTGCTGCATGAAATTGTGGCACATGTGCTAACATAAATAAGCAGACCAACAATGTGGCCTTTAGTATTCCAAAAACAAAAAATGGACAAACAAAAGCAAACAAACTAACGATAATAGTGCCATCTGTTCTGCTTGTTTTGTCCTAGTTATTAATTGGCTGGGTTTAGCATTGTTGGTCTGTTGTGTTTTCTGAACCCAGTCATATTTCACCATGGTAAATTTGGTCTTTAGAAATCACAAGAAACAGCAGTTTATTCTAATTAAAATATTTTACTTTTGTATTGCTGCATACGGCTTTTTTCCTATGTATGCTACTCTAGAAGTTCCTTTGGAATTGCAGAGTATGGTATTAAACAAGTAAGTCAAATGTGAAGTCCACGTGATACAGTGAACTGTTAGGACTGAAATTCTTAACACGAACAAAAACACAGGGGCAAATCAATCGCCTACCTGATGCGCCCACCAAACCATTAGGTAAGAAAATGCTGCTATCCAGGAGATGGATCCAAAAAATGTTAATGGAAAAAACTTCTTTGCGGACTGAAAGACAGAAAGAATGGGAAGCATGAACACTGGGTTAGATGCTATTTTAGTCCAAAATAAGACCTATTTGGATCACTGGATGTAGCACAGACATCAGCCCTCCAGGTGTTCTGGACTGTAACACCCAGGATGCCTGACCACTGGCCACGCTGCCTGGCACTGATGGGAGTTCAAGTCCAAAAGATCTGGAAGGTTCCAGTTTGGAGAAGGCTAATGTACACAGTACTGACAGCGATAAATTCCAACACGCATAGGCGCAAACAGTGAACCCATGCTGCATCCATGTTTAGGACTATGTTCCTTAGAATTACTATATAGTTATGTGCTTGGAATTAATATATGATTTTTTTTTCTGTGCTCCTTAGATTTGCGGTTTCTCATTAAAAATACTGGTATTCTCTGGCATCACCTGTGGCCACACCGTCTCACATCCTATGCTTCTTCTTAGAACACAATTCATGAACCACCCAAAAGAAATACTTTATGGAGTTCAAATATATTCATAGGGTGAAACACTTAGTCCTTTGGCATGTTGTCCTACACCTAAAAAAGAATGCCATTTAGGTAGCTATACCGAGGACCTCTTTTAAAGAGAAGGTCAAATATCTGTGATGACTTTTGTACTCACTGAACACTAGCTATCCGGTAGGTGAAGAGCAGCAATTTGTAACAAAATGCTAGGTTTTAGCAGTTCACAGAAAGTCTAGTAGATGTGTACTGCATTGTAGAGACCTCTCAGATAACATAGTTTCACTTATTCCCAAAGACTGTTGCTGGTACTTTGGTTCGAATGACAAACAAACCCACTCTTACTGAAATTCTGCCCTCACAGACTCCCTTAAAGCAGACAGCAATAATGCTCTGTTATAAACTCTTCCTTAATTTAATTCTGAATGTACTGAAAAGCTTGAACACTGCTGAATGTTGTCAGCAGCAGTGACCCTGACCCTACCCTTATTTTGAAAATAAAAAACCTCTCTCTGTTTCCAATGTTTGTTACCACAGTGCTTTTCACAGTTCTATAACTGTGTAACAGGAGATTGCAAGAGTGTACAGGTGATAGTAAAACAGTCCCCCCTCCTGCTTGAATGTTTTCTTTCAGGAAAGATATTTGGCATATTGTTATAAAGCTTTTTTTAGAAGTGCATTCAAAAGAACCTAGCATCTGCATTTTTATTATCCAGCTTGCTTGTACTCATGGGAATAGGATATGCTGGCAAGTATTTTTCATATAGCACCTAATCACTTTCCACTTTGCCATCACCAACTTGATTTAGCAAAAAAGCTGGCACACAAGGAACGGTTTCTCACACTGCAGTAAATCATGGGTTAATTAGCCCACAATTTGCTAGGACATGTGGAGTACACAACGTGATTTAAATAAACAACCTTCCAGTGCCCTCTTCCTAGGTTGTTAGCACGATGGCCAAACCTGAAAACTTGTTTAGGGGTTAACCTATGCTTGTCATATGCATGTTCCTTCAAATCATGGGTTAATAAGCCTCTGAGCTATCTAACTGATGAACCTGTTGTGGGCAGGAGAAGTGAAAAGAGGCCATAAGATCCCACAGATCCAGACCTCTTTCCTCTTTTGGACCTGAGGTCTTCTGAGGTCACTGTGGCAACTTGCAAGGGGTTGGAGAAGGAAGAGTGTCCTGATCCTGGCGTTGGATTCTTCTTCCTAAAGCTTTCCCAGGGATCATAGGGTTGCTCTGATCATCGATTAAAGCTAATTGATAATTAACTAATCTTTCTTCAAATCCCCTGACACCCCTAATTATATGGCAAAAAATAACAAATACGTAGATCCTTAGAGCATATTTTTACAATGAGCTGTATGACTCAGTTGCTACTCTGGGGTAAATGTAGGAATAAATGAAAATATAAAGAATTCAGTAATACGTTCAGTGCATTAGCTCTAATTCAGAATATGCTGGTTGGTGCTTTCTATGGCTGCTAGTTTCTCCTGGCTCTGTGTGAAGAAAGATCATACTCTAGCTTTGTCAAAATGGCAGCAAATAATCCCTATAGATAGAACACTGATAAGGGGAGGAAGAGATGAATTATGCTAATCTTCATTAGTTGCTATGGATTTACTGTCATTGTAAAAATGATATTGCTTTATCCCTAAAAGAAGAGAAGCAAAGGGAATCCGGAACGCCTCTTAGAGGAACAAACCATCACTTATGGGGCCATGGCTGCCCTTTTGAGTGACCAAAGACTTGGTTCATTCTTCGTTTCAGCTGGCTTGTCCCTGTCCTGCCTTGTGGAGGAGAGAATGCCTCTTTAAGGGCTTAATCTATCCGCCCTGCCTGTGTCCAGCTCTGCATTGACCCTGTGATCCCGTCTGCTCTCAGAAGCCAAGCAGGTTCATCTAAGCTAAGCCAGGACAAGCTTGATCAGCAGTCTTGTGGCAGGTGGTGGGAGGACAGTCCAAGAAAACACTCAGGCACTTTTATGCAATTCATACTGTATCCCCTTTCTTTTCTTTGAACCCGTCAGTCCACAGTGGGAATAACCACACCGTGCCACCAGCAGCAGCTGTAACTACGTGGGCGGTCCCCTCAAAACTTGCTGGACATCATATTTCAGTACCACATGCCACAAAGGAACTCAGGCCATTTCTAACTTGGGTAGCAGAATGGGAGCTGCCGTGACATGTCCCTAGGACACCTCAGTAATGCTGGAAGTCTGATAGCACCTGGGATGAGTCCAAGCTGTGCACCCTTCTCATGGCAGTATCGCCTCTCCAAATGGGAGCAATATGGTGGTCAAGAGGGAAAATGCCACCCTTGGTTGCATAGCCAGAAGTGTGGCTTCTAGATCGGGAGAGGTATTACAACCACTCCATATGACTCTGGTGCTCCCACAATTGGAGTATTGTGTTCAGTTCTGGGCTCCACATTACAGGAAGATATAGCCAGGTTAGAGTCAGTGCAGCGTAGGGCCACGAGGTTGGTGGCTGAAGTGCTGGGAATGCCGTATGAGGCAAGACTGAGGGAGCTGGGCCTTTTCAGCCTGGAGGAGATTCCAAGGGGATCTGATAGTGACATATACGTATGTGAGGGGATGTCACACAGAGGTGGGTAAAGACCTGTTCTACCCTGCAGAGGAAGGCAGGAGGCGCTCCAATGGAGCAAAGCTCAGGGAGCCAAGGTTTCATTTTGATGTCAGGAAGTACTTCCTACCAGTTAGGACCCCGAGAGTATGGAATGGGCTTCCACAGAGGAGGCTGAGGTCCCACTGGTGGGAGTGTTCAAGGAAAGGCTGGACATGCACATGGTAGGCATGTCATGAGTGGAGCCGGCTAGAGCCGGGGGTCAAACTAGATGGCCTGGGAGGCCCCTTCTGACTTGTTGTTTCTCTGTTTCTCATACCAATGTGGGGAGGGGCACCGGCAAAGCGCATGTCGATGTAACTTTCATTTTCTAGTGGCACCTCAGGAAGAAGCCAGAATGCTGCAGTTCCTGTATAATGAAAAGTAATGCCAAGAGGGGCACCTGTTTCACTCCAGCCTGAGGACCGAAAAAAACTTTTAAGGTAGAGGTAAAAGGGGAACAGACCAAAACTACCACCATATTTTAACTTACAGATTTTAACTTTAGGTGAGGCATTTCAATTTTTTAGAGCAGAAAGAAATTCCACAAATGTTGGCCAAGCAGCCAATGATTGGCAGTTGTGGGAAAGGTGTGTAGCCACCTGCAAAAACTTGGAGGGCTGCAGTGGGACTTTAGGCAGGCTGGATTTGCCGCACAGGCCTGAGGTTCAAGCCTTACAAGGTGGGAAACTGTCACAAAGAAAATGGATTCACAAACACATCATTTTAGTGAATCAGGTTCTTTGACTCCCCCTTTCCCCCAAAATCACATCTCAAGGTCTTACTTTAATTTAATTAAAACATTTCTATGCCATCCTTTGCGGCAAGCCTCAGGATGCCTCACTTTCTGAGCAAGCATTCAGCTCTTCTCTCTCATCCAATACTTGTGCATCTATTCATAGGCTGGTTCCAGAAAGTAGAACTGCCAAGCAAAATGTATCGTGCAGCTGTTTTATCTTTTCCTTCTTAGTGAATTGTTTGTGGTAAGAAAAAGAGGCAGAACAAAGGGTGGGAAAACCCAGGAGAGCTACCATTGAATGGTGTCAGTGTCTGGACTCCTGTAAAATGATATGGACAAGGCAGGAAGTGGGCACAATAAAAGTCTAATCTGAAAGTACCCACAATCACTTGCTTATGTTTGACTTGTATGCCAAGTGTAAATTGTCCACCTTTCAGCACCTGTAGGTGTTATCAAGTCAAAGATTAAATGCTTAAGTCTTAAGTGGAAAGAAGCAGATGCATTAGTTGAAATCAGTTGGATTTAAAAGTGTTTAACTGACTGGATTGCATCCTGTGCTAATTCTGGGTTATGTATAGCAGCTGGCATCCTTTGAAGAAATATGAAATTGGAATAGAAATATGAGTTATGCTTTAGAATAATTTTTTAAATTCGTAAACACACCAAACCCGTTCACTGGCTTCAGCTAGCCATACTTTGAGGGTCAGATATTTGTGGAGTTTGTCACATTAGCACAGAATAAAATGCCACTGAATTTTTAATAGGGGTTTCTCTCCAAGAAAGAATTTGATTTTAATATGGAAAATCCAAAAACTCATTTCCAGAATGACTGCAGAAACCAGGAACTGCTATTGATGAGGAGGCTCAAGGATACACAGACTGCTGGAGGTCTGGAGAAAGATTTCTTATGCATACATACTGATAAGAGCCACTGAAAGAAGCAGCCACAGAGACCAACAACATGAAAGAACGATTAATGCCATATTTTAGAGGTTGCTATTAAATATTTATACAAGTAAATGGCAATATATTCACAGCCATTGTCTGGCAGGCAGGACCTCCAGCCGCCCAAACCAAATGTCATATACTAGGGCAGACTTTTTATTTATTTTCTCCACAAGGCAATTAAATGGGAGCTGAGAAACCATTCACTCATTATTAATGGAAGCCCAATTCACTGTATGCATTTTGAGAAAATCTGGTCTAGATCTGATGCTTAACAACTTTATTGTACCAATTCACATGTAAGAACAAACGCTGCCTTACTTACAGGATTTCTGACATCAGGCAGGGTAACCCATAGTGGGAAAACAATGGGGAAAATGATCAGGTAGGTGAGCTGCTTGCGTGGGGTGTCAGGCCAGGCCAGGCTGAGTGGCTGATCTTCATCCTCCTCCTCCTGTTATAAAAACATGGAGATTGATTCACTACTGTTAATCTGGTGCGAGATGGAAAAAAAAAGCCACAAGAACATCACTATGCAAACATTTGCACTTTGCAATGGAGAAAAGTACTAGTCTTGGGGTCCGGACTGTCTGCATTTTGCACTGAAAGAATCTATTTACAAAATCTTCAGCTATGTCACATAATAAAATAAGCAGAACATTTCCACCAAGCATTTCCCATGTTGGTTCACTCCCTTTTTAGGACTGCATGCAGTACCTAATATCTCCATATATTCCTACCTGTCCACTTAGATCCCCTCTGGAACTCTTCCTCCCAATATCCTCCCATAGTGAGATCAAAGGGGAAGGGGCTAGGAGAGGGCACTCTCAGCAGTAGCGCCTAGACTCTGGAATTCACTCCCCACGCATATACAGCTTCTTTCTTTCAGGTGTCAGCTGAAAGCTTTTTAAAAAAATTTAAACAAGCTTTTGGTTAATTTAATACTTTTACATTTTGTTATGGATTATTTAATTTAATTTAATTTATGATTAATTTATTGGCTGTATGCATTATGGTGTGTGAGGCTATATTTTATTATGAGATGTGTATCTATTATTTTATCTATTTTTCCGTTACTAACTATTTTTATTGTATCCTTTTTATTCTATGCTGTTTTAGCACTTGTGAGCCACCCAGAAATCTTTTGGGTTACGGAGCAGCATAGAAAGGGAATGAAATAAATAAATATATACATGCGGAGTTATATAGCAAAGGATGCAAAGACCAGCAAGCTGCCTTATCGTGATACCATCGGTGCACACACTATTTGAGTGCAGTGAAGCAGCTGGAATTGTCAGGAGACCTGAAAGATTAAGGTGCTCTTTCATATTCAAGGCACCTCATTTCGTCCCCACATTTGGTAACCAATCTCACTTTGGTGACACATGCATGTATCGACCATCATCAGTCAGTGAATTTTGCCACAAATCAAGCTAACACTCTTCCCATTTTAGGAAACTGAGAGGCGGATATAAAGAAGTGCAAATATCGATCTGACTCCTTTGATATTCCTAGAGTCTTTCTTAAAACTGTATCAGCAGTGTACTTTTTGCACTGTTCTTTCTGATTCCTGGAATATTTGTTCAGCATTTTTTCCTGGCTGGACGCTTCAGTACATGGACCACCCATAAAGAATGCCACACTTTCAAAGACCATTTGAAATTACTCTACTCCTTCACACACTGTTCCACAGAAAAAGTGCAAAAAAATCTACCCAGCCTATGAGGACTCAGCATGCTTAATAGCATTGCAGCGCTGAAGATCATTTGGGAAAGAAAACCAGAAACTGGAGTTGGTTAGAAAAGGAGCGTAGAGAATCCCAGAATGTGGCTGGGTGGCTGAAGTACTGAATATGGTCATTTCTGTTGGAGATGAGGGACACTGCAATATTTTGTTGCAGATCTAGTTATATTCTAGTTATATTACTACCCTGTCATTTTCAAAGGGTTCTACTTAATGAGTTTTACTATTACATATATAGTTTTGTTGCAGATCTAGTTTGTTCTAGTTATATTACTACACTGTCTTTTTTTAAAAAAAGTTTTACTTGAGTCCATGAATGCTACAAGGTTTTCATTAAAAAGGAAACCAGATATTTCCAGATTTGTCAGAGGCTTAAACTTATTCAGTGTTACATATTTTCATTTGATCAAACCACTTCACCTTACATTACTCTTTATTTTATATTTTGCATCCATGTAACCATGGCCTAAGGAGTTTCTCCCTATACATCCATAACCATAACTCCACATATGTACACACGTATACACATATGTTTACCTATATAAGAAACTTTATATGCACAGCAAAAATATAACCTTTCCTGTTAGGCAATTACACAAGTTCAGCTTTAATTATTCTAGCCTATGGCTTTTCTAAAAATAGCATTCAATTTCATATTAACATCCTCTCCTACTCAGGCATATTCCTTTTTTACCAGTTTCTATGGAAACCAAAATTATATATGACTACCATGATGATGATTACTTTAAGGCTTTTTTTTAAAGCACTTTTTTTCTAGTAATGAAGCAATCTAAAATTTACAAATTTCTGTACAATTACTGAACTGTTGATTGAATTACTGTGGCAAATTATATTTAGTGTGATGCACTTCAAGATCAATTCAACATTAGTTCATTTTAGGAGACATTCTTCTGTATTGTCTTTGCATGTGTCTTTTGTCAAAATAGCTTAACCTTTATCTATGAATAGGATTTTTCCCCTATCATGTGATTACTTGGATATTTTGAATACTTCCATTAGACAAACAGCTTAAGGGAGGGGGACTAGGTACTAAAATCCAAGAAAATGTGCTGTGATTTAAGGTGCTTCCAGAGGAGACCTTTATCTTGTGATCACCTCAGTTATTACTTATTTACTGCTTTTCTATACTGTTCACAGCTCTCAGAACAATTTACATCCCTACAGATAACAGAACTCCAGAGAATGCACTACAAGGTCACTCTGTAAGCCAATGCACGATGGGGAAAGTGTGACAGACTGGTGGAAGAAAGCAATAGGACTGATTTCTAGAAGGAGTATAACATTCCCAATCATTACTCTAAATTTTAAAAATGGCAGATGAACAGGCTGCCATTCACAAGATCATTTACCTGCCTAATGTACGCTGCATCCAATACAGGAGTGGAAAGTTCTAACTGTGTGTGCTACTCACAACATGCTGGAAGGCAGGACCAAGGTTTTTGTGATTCATGGTTGGTTCTTGACCTGCATTCACATATTGCCACATTATAAAATGGAAAAGCTTGTGTGGAGTAGTGGTTAAAGCACTGGGATGGGACTCTGGAGACCTAAGCTCTAGTCCCCTCTTGGCCATTAAATTCACTGGGTGACTTTGGGACAGGCAAAGCCTGACCTACTTCACAGGGCTATTGGGAGGATAAAATAGAGGAGAGTTCTGTAAGATGCTTTGGGTTCCTTGCAAAATGGAAAAAAGGTGGAATATAAATATAATATGTATACATGTGTGTGTTTCTGTGTATAATGTTTGCTAAATTTATTATTTTCAGATTTTATGTCAAACCAGAAGGTATACTTTACATTCCCATGGGTATTTACGAAGAAAGCCCCATTAAGTCAACTTCCAAGTCACTGTGTATATGAAAGCAGTTTTGTGCGGCCTAGTTATATAATTTGAAATAATGGATGGATTTGCAATAATTCCAGTTCCTACTTTTTGCAGTTCATTTGCAATAAACCCTCTCAGCACTTTGCATTCGAAGATGAGAGTTCCTGACTCGGCAGGTTTTTCCAGTGGGCTTAGAAAACACACTGCACAAAATGACTCCACACAGAATATTCTATGAGATGCAATTGTTCTGCCTGTTGCCTTTGTTTTTCCTGAATAATTTCTGAGGTAGAAGCTACAGGAAGAATGGACTTCCAGATTAATTTATTCAATGCTAGACCCTTTAATATTTCCTGTGCTAAAAAAATCCCTTCCTTGTTAAACAAACAGCAAGTTGCAGTCAAAACTAAGGTACTCTTACACTAACATTGATGATATAGGAGGACTGAACAGATGCTTATATTTGAAATCAAAGTGCTGGATTATGACCAGTCTAAATGGAATAATAAATTATTCAGAAGATCAACTGTACTTTGTTTGCCCCCCCTCTTTGGTTGGTTTGCTTTGAAGAGTCTTGAAATGGATTTCAATTTTAAATATATGCTATTAGAGACATCAAAGAATAAAAAACAGAATATTGGCCTTGCCTTTATTATGAAGTTTTATAGATAGGGATTCACTTGCAAGATGATGATGATGATTCTGGTCAAAAAATTACTCTGCAGTGAATTGCCCCACCAGGTAAACAGCCATGACTCTGGCACTTATGCTCCAACCTTGCTGTGCAGTTTCCCTCTCCCTAACATAGCAGCAGGCTTTCGGAGTCTTCCATATATAGAATTCATCCCACTTAAACAGAATTTCTGCTTTAAAAATGAAGCATTTAACCAACTCGAAGGGGGACTTGAATGTGTGACAGGTGTCCTTTTCATCAAGCAATTCCGGAACCTCAAACTTCAAATTCTCTACCTTATAGGTTAGCCTTCCCCCAGCTTGCACCTTCTCATGGTGTTCACTACAACTCCTTTCAGCTCTGACCATTGGTCATGCTGGCTGGGCAGATAGGAGTTCAAATACAAAGCATTTGGAGGGTAACCATTTGACCAAGGCTGCTCTACTCTTCCCCATTCTTGCATGAGATAAATAATCAACTTTCTTTCTCTCCAGCCATAGGGGAGGAAAGACATTAGTTTTCCAACAACCCTCCTTTCTGTCCCTGAAAGAGGAAATTTTAGAAAGCGTAGCCATGCTAGCAGTAAAAAATAAAAACAATCTTATGGCATCATAAATATTAACAGTATTATTCTGCCATAATGTTTAAGGTCTACTGAGCTTCGTCATTATAATACATCTTTAGAATCACAATTGTTTTGCCCATAAAATATTGTAAGAAAGGGTTAATCTAACATGTTTATCAGCATACACATAGGCACTTGAAAAAAACTCTGCCCGGTTTTCCTGTACCTGGTTTCACTACAACAGGGGTGAGCAACCTGCGGCCCTCCAAATGTTGCTGGAATGCTACTCCCTTCGCCCCTCTGCAGTGACTATGCTGGCGAGGACTGATGGAAGCTGCAACCCAACAATATTTGGAGGGGCAGGTGTTCACCACCTCTGCACTCGGAAACAAAAATGTTAAAAAGAAGGCGGCACTTCAGAAAGCTAGCCTTCCTTATCTAACCTTCCTTATCACCAAGAACAGATGGCCTAGTGATAGTTTTCTCCCCAAAGAAGCTGTGACATCTGTTAAACAAATGTCATGGGGAGCTGGAAGGAAAAGCTCAACACTCCATCTCTTCAGTCTCTTTCTTGCAGTCTCTACATTTCTCGAAATCCTATTCTCATCAGCCTCCTTCTGTTGCCCCTACTTGCATGAGACAGTAAACCCCACTTCATTCTTTATATCGCACCATGTCTGGAAAAGGCTGGGCTGGATGAGGGCCAATAAACTGAAGCTCAATCCAGACAAGACGGAGGTCCTGTTGGTTGGTGGATCGGGTGTCGGAGAGGGTGAATTGAACCTAGTCCTGAATGGGGTTGCACTCCCTCTTAGGGACAAGGTCCGCAGCTTGGGAGTGCTCCTCGACCCAGAGCTTTCACTGGGAGCTCAGGTGACAGCGGCGGCGAGGAGCGCTTTCTTTCAGCTTCGGCTGATCCATCAGCTGCGCCCCAACCTGGAGTACGACTGCCAGGCAACAGTGACACACGCGTTGGTGACTTCCTGACTTGACTTCTGTAACGTGTTCTACGTGGGGCTACCCTTGAAGACGGTCCGGATACTTCAATTGGTTCAAAATAGAGCTGCCAGGCTGCTGACGGGGACTGGGCGTTATGTTCACATGACTCCAGTCCTCTGTCAGCTTCACTGGCTTCCCATTGAAGTCCGGGCCCAATTCAAGGTGTTGGTGATGACCTATAAAGCCCTAAACGGCTTGGGTCCTGGTTACCTGAAGGAGCGCTTACATCCTTATATGCCCACCCGCCCCGAGATCTGCGGGAGAGGCCCTTCTCCGGGAACCCTCCGTGAAGGAAATTAGGAGGGTGAGTACTCGGAGGAGGGCTTTCTCTGCGGTGGCGCCCAATCTATGGAATGCGCTCCCCAGAGAGGTCCGCCTGGCGCCATCGTTATTTGTTTTTCGGCGCCAGGCGAAGACCTTTTTATTTAAGCGGCGTTTTAATTGTTAATATTATTGGATTTTATCTGGCCAGGGCGACTTATTTTATATTGTTATTTTTACATTTTAACTTAATGTTTGTACTTTACAAACATTTTAATTTAATGTTATAATTTAATGTTTGTATATTTTTTAACTTAATGTTGTAAGCCGCCCCGAGGCTTCGGCGAATGGGGCGGCATAAAAATGTTTTAATAAATAATAAATAAAATATCTTTTCCTCTTTAGCTTGCAAGAGTGTCCTTCTTCCTTTTAATACTAAATAGTTAAAATCTATGCAGCACTCTATTGGACTGGGCTAAAGTTCCACCTAGTCCCCAGCTTCTGTTTAGACTAGGCTAGTTGGATTCTTCCAAGGGCATGAAGGCCTCCCCTGGTATATGAACCTAGCATCCGGTATTTGTTGGTAGATTGCCTTGACTTAGCTGACACAGCTAATAGCATTGGCCAGATCTGTTCTCCAGCAATTTTCTTAATCTTTCTAAACAGTAGTTCTGAAATGAGGGTCCCTGGGTGTTGTCCATTTTCCATTCTTCGTGACCATTGGCTATGCTTGGTGGAGATGGTGCGGATCTACTGTCTAACATCTGGATGTTGGGAAGTAGTTCTGGGAACCACTGCTCTAGTCATTTAAGCTAGACACCAACACCAGGAACCTTCTAAAAATTAACATTACATTATATTATATGATACCCATACAGCTGACCCTCACTCAAGGTATCAAAAGCAGGAAAAGAGCTTCTCTATCTTTCTCTCTCCCTCTCTCCAGAGCTTCATTTTATGAACATCCTTCATGTTATCCCTTTGCAGTACCTTTGATATAACATAACAAACATTAAAAAGAGATGGAGGGAAGGGAGGGGGAAGCAAAAACCAACCTCCTCTGCACCAACAGCGGTTCCATTTTGCACTGGTCCATCATTTGGTGGTGTCACTTCAACTTCAATTTTTTCTGAAGCATAAACCACAGAAAAAGCATTTAAAACCCCAAAAAACAAAGTAAAATGGAGAAAAAAATGCTTATTTTATGACATTCATTGTACAGTTGAACAGTTAAGCACAAACATTTATCAGTTCATTTGTAAGCCAGTTTAAGACAAAACTAGTGTAACTGAAACTTACTGAAGCCTTTGTAAGAGATTCAAACAGAGTATTAATGGAGCTGGACCAAATATTCATAATCCTATCTTTAGTCCAATATCACAGCAATGAATTCATCACCCCAGCCTTGTTTACGTAGTGCTAACCCACAGAAAAGAGTGGCTTGTTCCACACCTAATTATATCTTACAGACATGGCCAACTCACGGAAGCCTGCGAGGAAATGTAAACCGTCAGGTTTGTTCAACCTGTTATGTAATAGGATACGGACTCTGTGGTGTGTCCCTCTTTGGCTGTACATGGACATTCACAGAGCTACTAGGAAGAAAAGGCAACGGTCTGTGCTTCAGCTGATGAGTGCAAGTATTTTCCAAGGCCACTTGAAACTGCCATATAAATGCCCATGAATAGGTAAAATGCAAGGAAGCTGTGGAAAGTGATGCTTCTTCTGCAGCAAGTTTCTATGAAGGGTTGGAAATATAATTGGGGATGTACAACTCCCCCTCCCCACAGTTGGTGAGTGACAATTGGTCGAAAGGGGTCTAAGTGATCAAAGAAACCCACTAAGCTTAAAGAAAATGCAAAGAGAAAATAAGGCTGGAAATGGAAGGCTAGCTCTTATCCAGAAACAGAAGCATTGCAGAGGCAGACACAAATTCCTTTGCATTCCTATATGTACCACAAAGAGCTGCATAGTATTTTGCAATATGAAGGTGCCATGTGGAATCTTTAATGCCGTATTCATGGCCACAAAGCATAATAAGGTGCATAAGCAAGAGCTAATGGTACAAGAGAGCTAAGTATGTAGGTGCCACTAGAGGCTTTTTTTTCTTTCCTTAGCTCTCCTTTCAGGGGGAGGAAGAAAACATACAGCTAGCAAGAAAAGTTGTAAGCCTCTCCTTAATGCATGTGCTGGTCTCCATCCATTTTAGGATTGCATGTGCTTATTGTAAGTAAAAAAGAGGGACTAGGCTGCACGCTGTCCGTCTAATGTATATGGTAGCTCTGCCCAAATACATAAAATGTTATAATTAAAGAAATATTGTTGTTTCTTGTGGAAGAAAAATGCTATACGTATACACATACCAGCATGGTTAGCACTTCCATTCCGTTTTCCACCATCCTCTACCTGGCACTTTTTGGCCATCTTATGAAGAATTGACGCCCTTTCTTTGAATTTTCCTGAAAGAAAAGATCACCTTGGTAAAACACAGCAATTCATAAGTCATTCCATCAGCTTTTTATTTCACACAGCAAAAGCACTCCATGCCAAAGAGGAAGTGCCTCTGTCCCTGAAAATAACCTTTGGAACATATATGTGGGTCATAAATCCTTCTGAAATTTTAGGAGAAAGCTTGTCACTCAGAGGAAAGCCAGGATCTCTTCTTGATCACCCCAGAATGCAGGACATGGAATAACAGGCTCAAGTTACAGGAAGCCACGTTCCAGCAGGACATGAAGAAGAACTTCCTGACTATTAGAGCAATATGACAACGGAACCAAATACCTTGGGAGGTTGTTGGTTCTCTCACACTAGAGGCACTCAAGATGTGGCTGGACAGCACTCTGAGAGGGATGGTTAAACTTGGAGTCCCACATTGAGCAGGGGGTTGGACCCGATGGCCTTCTTGGCTCCTTCTAAATCTAAATCTACTATTCTATGATTTTATCTACTTTTGGGAAAGGGGGCACAGTGATATAGGTCCAGTTAATTCCGACTTAAACAATGTGTCTTAACTAACATCAGCTACTTTTAACAGAATGACTGCTTTGCCCTTTCCAGAAAACATATTCCAAAAGGAAGATTTTGTAACAAGAACCAGTAGCCCAGTCTGATGTATGATAACTCAGCTATAAGTCCCCTTGAGGACTGCAGCGTGAGAAATCTATGGTATTCTAAAGACCTATATCGTGGCACAAGTTTTCATATGCTAAAGACCACTTAGCCATAAATAAGAGCTACTTCCGTAAGTCTAGAACTGAGACATAACATGCATGCATTACTTGAACAAAAAGGAGGAATGGAATTTCCTTCTATCTATAAATTGCATTGTTTTAACCCTGGAAGTCCTTTATTTAACCTTCATCTAACATGTGCATTACTGATTTATATGTATGTTCAATTTATTTTCCCCTTTTGGTACAGAACAGCCATCAAGAGCTGTCTGGGTAAATACCACAACCCAATGTTCTTATTTAGACATAATGAGAAACTATGTTTTGGAGAATCAGGACATTTACAGCTTTGCTTTTCATTCATATATGAAAATATGAATGAGTATACACAAGCAACAGTTTGTTCACAAACAAGGAGTTGGACTAGAACCTTTCTCTGTGTGGACACACCAATTTGTTTCATCTTTCTGTCTTAAAATGTCTCAGGTGAAAATGGAATGATTGCATGGACAATGAACAGCAATCCTCGTTTCAAACTACCTACTACCTTGCTCTGGATGCAGGCTTGTCTGTCTGTCTGTATGTCTATTTTTGCACACCAAGCTGCACACAAAATAAATACATAGATGAATAGAAAGATTGCTGGGCAACCACAGACAGCCCCTTGAAGAAGCTGCTATCAGAATGTCTTGATAGGCAGCTTTCGTGATATCCAAAGGAAAAAAGTTGAAAAGGAAAAAGAGCTGTGGGGTGGGAAGGGTGGGAAAACTTGTTCCTCCCATGGAGTCTCCTGAAATACCTGTAGAAGGACAGAGGCAGGAAGAGAGGGGAAGAGAAGGCCCATAACCCGTGGAGAGCTGAACATTTGTGAAGGTTTTTTGCACAGCAACCAATCTACCATGGTTTATGCCAAGGCCAGCCAGTCTTTGTCCTTTTGGGTGCAAGTCTGTATCTAATTAACTGTGGCCTATGACAGAATGCCTTCCTTCAGTGGAAAGGGGAGAGGAGTGCTTCCTCTGCCACTTGCAGCATTAACACAGCCTAAAAATCTATTCTGGAGAGCTGGGGGACCCTCGGATTAGACTGGGAGGTGTAGAGGAAGAAAGAAAGGAAAGCCTCATTGCACAAGAGAAAGGCCACTCATGCATTGGTAGCTCTGACACATAGTGTAACCTGTCCACCATCCAACTCACTGCTCTTGAGCTTTAGCACTATATTTAACACAAGATGGGCCATGCCGGATAAGAGCAAGGGTCCATCTTGCCCAGCAGTCTATTAACAAGGTGCCCACCTGATGTCTACATTAGTGGACATTAGTGCAATGCAATGAGAGTGCAATGAGCACTCTCCCAGCTCAGTTCCCTAGCAATGGAAGCAGCATACAGCTGTCTGGACAGACAAGCATAAATAGCTGTATCTTTCATGAATCTGTCCAATCCACTTCTAAAACCATCTTGATTGGTGGCCATCGCTACATCTTCTGGAAGTGAATTCCATGCTTTAGTTGTGCACTGAATGAAAAAGTGATTCCCTTTATCTGTCCTGCATCTCCCTCCAATCAGCGTCCGGGACTGAGAGAGGGAGACATATGTCTCCCAATCCACTTCCTCCACTCTGTGCAGATTTTTGTACATCTCTATCACATTTCCCTGTAATTTTTAAATAAAATATACTGTAAGCTTTCCTTGCAGGGCAGGTTCTTCAGCCCCTTAATCATTTTAGTTGCCCTTTCTGTAATTTTTCTAACTGCACAATATCTTCTTTTAGTTTAGTTGACCAGAACCATGTGCATTATTCAAAAAGTGGGTGCAGTATCGATGGGGAAGGGGGAGAATGATAGCAGCAGTTCTATTTTCAATTCCTTTCCCAATTATATCCAATATGGAATTTGCCTTTTACAGCCACTACACATTAAATCAATATTTTCCACCAAATTCCAAAGGTTTTTTTTATCATTCTTCAGTAGCTGATACCTTAAGCTAGAATTGTTTGCCCCAACATGCATTACTTTACCCTTGCCTGCATTGTATATTTGACATTTTAGTGCCAGTTCTTTCAATCTGGAGAAATCCTTCCAGCGCTCCTTGCAATTTTTGTTGCTCAACTACTCTGAATAAGTTGGTGTCATTGGAAAGCTTGGTCACTTCACTGTTCCCTCTTAATTACAGATCATGTATAAGTAAGCTGAATAGCATTGGTCCAAAAACAGATTCCACTGTTTACATTTCTTCATTGGAAGAATTTACCATTTATTTCTACTCTTGGCTTGCTCTTCAATTCATTCAAAATGAGAGGGGGAATCTAGGTACAGCTATAGATCAGGTATAACTATAGGAAGAAGCAGTGATTGACAACCTAATACTTGTAGGGAAGGTTATAGAGATTTTTTTCCTTGATAATCACGTTGCCTGGGAATAATATTTGCTTATAATTTTTTGAGAAGATAGCTGGGCTAGATGTAAATTTTAATATAATTAACTCTGAAATATGGTAGCCATCAATAGAAATTGTCCTTTTAGTTGGATGTTGCAACATGCACCCATACAGAATTGCTGTTAATTTATAATAAAGAATTCTGAATATTTTTAAAGTTACTATTAGCTTTACACAGAACAATGTTTTTAGCATAGACGTTAAATTTGACTATAGGAGCATTTAAGACAAGAAAATGCAAAAGCAGTTCACTGGGTAGGCAAATATTAAACTTCAGGAAAAGAAAGAGTATTTAAAAGATGAAAAGAAAGAAATGAAGAAAGAGACAATTATTAACATTTAGATTGGTAATTCATTTCATTGAATGTGATGGAAATTTCGAAGCTAAACATAACAGGTTCAATTCCTCACACAGTGAAAAGAGCACAGTTCTCACAGTTCAGTTGTACACGAACAAAAGAAAAAAAACGTGAAGGGTGAATGTACACAAAGCAATGTGAGCAGCCTGCAGCAACACAGATCTAGGATCTGACCCTATAATTGGATGCAGGTGCAAGATCACCTGTTCTGCTCTGGCCCCCATTGGACCTGATGTACAGACAGTTGCTCCTTACCCAGAGATAGACGGTGCGGTACGTTATAATGATTTCTGCATTGCTAGGCCACAATGGGTACAGAAACAATTTCAGTCCTGTTGCATTACATTCTCTAGAGTTTTTTTTTTTAACTATACTGAATTTCTCTGAGCTACCTGAACATAGCCTAACTGAGATTGAAGGGTTTATAGAGAAAGTTTGCCAGTAAGGCAGGTATCTTTGATTTAAGTATCAGACAGAAGCGCAGTGCTGCAAGCCATTGTGGGCAAAACAGCTACAGCTACGGCCACAGCTGCAAAAACCAAGCAGATGAGCGCAAACCCTGTGTGTACTAGTTCTGAAAACACAGGGGATCAGAGGGATGGCTTTTGTGAGGGGAAAGAAACGTTCATGGGAAGGTTAATCCTTACTTTTGTCATGTATTGCTAACATATTTCTGAGAATTAGGAAGGAGGGCCGAAGCAGAGGCTTCCTTTAAGCTTATCAGTTATTCATAGACATGGCTGTATTGTAAAAATAATTCTTTGGTCCACCTTCTGTTTCATGGCAAATATTTTCCAAACTAGAGTAAGTTCTACATAAGCAACTAAGCACAAATACGGCAAAGCTTATTTTGATCCCATTCCCTGGAAACAAAGGACATGCGCTGCAGAACAGTGTTACTTTCTCTCTTTCAAATCCATCCAGCACAAAACCACAAAGAGTAACATGAGAGTATGAATACTTTTTTCCAGCTCAGAGGGCAGCAATTCACTTATTCTCTGCAGATTCTGAGTGTGTTGGAAACCAGGCCTGTGTACACCAGCGCAGGGAAAATGGAGCTCTCACACTCATGTCCTGTCTGTGGGTTTTCCATGGGCATCTGGTTAGCCACTGTGTGAGCAGGAGGTGGGACTGGATATGCCTTTGGTCTGATCCAACAGGACTTCTACATTCTTATGAGTGGAACTCCACATTACATCAGGAAACGAGTAGAAAAACACACTGCCTGTTCAACATGACTTCAGGGACAACAACACAAATGTTGTCCATCCTACTGCTCCCCTGTCCACAACTCCCACACACTTTTTTCCTGATCTCAGAGGCTGCCTGGAAGAAAGAAGTACAAGCCAAAGGATGGTTCCCTTTAATGCACTCCTCCTATGTTAGGATTATAAGGGGAACTGAGAATCCTAAAACTAGTTCCAACTTGGTGCCCTCCAGACTGGAGTTGACTAGTCCCAACTTGTGCTGCTCTTCTTTAGGAGTTCAACTCCCATTAGCCCCAGCAAGTATGGACAACGGCCAGCGATGATGGGACTGGAGGTCTGCCAAAAACATTTGCACTGTTGGGGCAATGACACCTCCTTACAATGGTCTTATTTGAAGGTCTCAACTAAATTTTTCTTTGGTTCTGCAAAGGTTCACCGACATAGTACATTACCAAGGAGTACTTCAAAATTAAACTCAAAATTTAGCCATCAAATCCTATTTACTCCATTTAGTAGAATATATGTAAACATTTAAAAAATAAAGAAGAAAAAACAGAGTAAAAACTTTATACTTGGACTGATGTTGAACATACAATGAAGTGAAGAAACTGATTTGTATATTTCTTTGGCACATTTACAAATACCAAATATTTACACTTGAGGAAAACGTAACTCATAAAGATTTGCTCTCCAAAACTTATTCCAGACTTGATCCAGAACAGTATTTCCATTCTAGTGCCTGGCATTATTAATTTTATTTCATTTAATTCAGAGGAATTGAAGCTTTCTACTTGGCAGATTGTTTTAGGTATCTCTTCATTTACTGAACAACTACAATGCATTTGCTCTAGAACCACAGAATGCTGTAGAAGTTTCTTGGGCCATTCTGTGGATGTACTCAGTGGCCTGGTTGCGGCTAGTACTGGTTAGTGGAGCAGCCATGGGTGCCACGTTGCACATTCGACCCCCAGCTGAGGATGGTCAGCTTGTGTGAACCTGACAACCACTGGTCATGAGAGGGTTAAACTATCCTGCAACAGCCCATGAGTTATGAAACTTTGCGTAATCCTTGCAACTCTCAGTGGACAAGTTCACATGATAAAACAACTTTGGTTGCATGTTGAATATTCAAAATGGCAGAGTGCACATACCATGGCACCTTGAAAGTTACACAACCCATGATGAACTGGCCCAGTCATGTCATGTGAACTGGCCCAGTATATGGAAGACATTGTTCAGACCTGTTGGGGCTTACCGGGACTACACCTGAACTGAAAGTATGACCGCCAACTCACTCTTCTGATTTTATGTAGGTGAAAATTGCTATCAGAGGGCAAAATTTTTCAGTGTCTGTCATTATTATTCTTGTTGAAGAAACTCTGATAGACTCTCAGAGAACACCACAGATCTTTAGAACATAGCTTGAAAGCAGATTAAATTCAACCCACCAAAAGCTAGTTGTGTCAGAATCCTTGGGTTTGTGTTAAAATGGTCACACTAAGCTTAAACTTTAACTAATATGTGAATTGCATAATATTAATTCACCACTATTAAAATATTCAAGTTAATTTACTGAGTATTGGGTTGAAGTTATAAATATTTACATGCATCTGTGAAGAATCAAAATGTCAGAGACAAAAAATGAGATTAACTATTCTTCTTGAATCTTAATGTAATAAAGAAAGGTACATTTAACTGAAGAATAGTTTTTAAGTGTGTGGAAAGTATATTGATAAATACTTATTATTCAAAATGTGTACCATCTTAAAGAAAAAACTGGTTTTGCTGTATGACAATAAAAGAAAAAAGGCAACACATGTTGATTAAAAATGTTAAGAAGTGTTAATAAAAAAAGTTAAGAAATATGGTAACACATCACACTATGCCAGGGAAATCATGCAGAGGAACTGAAAAGCCTCAAAAAAGGAGAAAAAAGTAACAATAATTTTTTTAAAGAGTAAAAAAGTTGACACAAAAATTCTAAAATATGTCTTACCTTCTTCAGTCATTGTGTCATAATATTTTAGCTTTCCATATGATCCAAGCTCTATAACATCATAGTAAAAGACACAGAGATAAGGAACCAGAAGACATTCATGGTAATTGACATGCTTTCACACATTCTTAATAAAATTCACAGCAATAATCTTTCTTCAGTGTAGCCAAATACAAGTGGTTGGAAGGGAATATAATGTTCTTCAGGAGAATTACTTCTATAGTTAGCATAATCTGGTGTATGTTGGTTTCAACACAAAGTATTGCAATGTATGCCAGAGGCTCGTAAGATTTTAACCTTTGGATTGAAACTATCTAGGGTCTCTAAAAGTTTGTGCAGAATGAACTGCAACAGTAATTTTACTCTGAGATAGTGGTGTTACCATAGACGCCTGGGAAGAAGCTATGGGGAAGAGGTTTTCATGCCAACAATATATAAACCAGACTGATGATATTTTACTGGTGTCTTTAAAAAATGAACTACAATTGTTTACTACATTATCATATTTATTTAATATCAAAAGTGTGCAAGGTGTCCAAGATCTACAAGTACGCACCTATGAAAGCTAGCATTTAGTATACACTGGGATATGATTGAAGCCAAATGAAAATGTCAGTGATTTAATGAGGTTAGGGAGACTTTTCATTTGATAAATTAGAAAAAGTGTTCTCCTTGCTCTTATGCAGGCAAAGTATATATGTGGAAAGGACCTGGTTTATTCTATTTTGTAAAAAGAAATCTATACAGTGATTGACAATATAAACAGATAATGAAAATTAATTAAAGGGAAAAAGCAGAGTAACTAGTATAAACAGATACAGAATAGGATGGAGGAGCAGAGTAATTCATTGAAAATAATAAAATTTCCTTCATGAACAGAATTTTCATTAAGCCTGGTCAAATAGTTGGGGTATGATAAAACAGGAATATTAATTTCCATATCATACCTAGATTTCTAATAATCAAAATTTAGCTTCCTGCTAACTCTTCCTTTATTTTAAATGCTAATTATTTGCACCATACCTTATTAAACCGTGCTTTACATACAATTTATTTAGCATTTTCCCAATTTTTCATAGTAACCAATGTTGATGCTGTTAATATATTTTCATTTCTTTTTCATCATTCATTTCTTTTTGTTCATTCTTCCCTCATAATTGTATTATTTTTATTATATGCTCTGCTCTTTTAAGTATGCTCTATTTTTTAAGTTTAAAGGAGCATAGGAAAAATGAAAAGGGCTATTTAAAGCAATTTAATTCAGACAGCTGAATACAACATCTTATTATCTTCTCATTTCTGTCTGATCGCTGACGTCGGCTGAGGTCCATGATAAATGGGAGACTGTGGTATGGAGGGCCTCCCAAAAGGTTACTGTGATCTTTCATTGTGTGTAGTGGCACCATTAAGCACTGGAGACTGCAATGAAAATGCAAGAACGACAAGACAGTAGCCTTCCCCAACCTGATACCCTTCAGAGATGTTGGACTTTAGGTCCCAGCAGCCCCAGCAAGCAGTAGTCAAGAATGCTGGAAAGTGAGGCCCAAAAGATCTGGGCAGCACCAGGCTGAGTTAGGTGGGTGTGAAGGCAGGAGAAAAAAATGCTCAAAAAATTGCTCAGTGGTCAATCAGATACCTCTGGAAGTTTCTAAGCAGGGTATATGGAGGCTGCCCACCCAGCATCATCTTCCATCCCTTACTGTTTGCAGCATCGGGCATTTTCGGAATCAATAGATGGCATCCGGAATTATAGCAGCTGAACAGAGTGTGTGGATTTAGACAACTTGATAAATAAATAGTTCATCCATGAATCCTTGTTTAGCCCATCAAAGGATTACCAATGCTGTCTGAGAACCACTGGCCCACGGATACAAACTCACATAGTAGTGTCTAAATGACAAAAATTGTAGTGGGCCGTTCTCATACAAACTTTACAAGCATTGTGGCCCAGAGATGATAACCTGCTGTTAAGAAACAATGCAATTCTCCATTCCCACGTTTCCTCTAAAACCAATGAAACAGCCTACTATTTTCAATCCCTTTAGCATGCTGCCATCTTGGATTACATGCTAGGTTCCTGGTATGAGGCACAAGCTCAAAACACAGTTCCCTGAGTAATCCCAATGTGTCCTTCTCAGCTCCAGAGCAGGAAGGAATTTCCAGAGGACATCCTGGAGGTGATATAGGGATTTGTAGTCACGTCACTTAGTATAGGACACTGGCCCCACATCACTGCCTGGTCTTCTGAAGTCTCCCCTGTAAGGGTAGCTATCAAGGTATGTATCTAGCAAACATAGTTCTGGGCTACCTTGCGAGGATAACTGTTCCTAATCTGAACAATAAGATTTTATAGGGCAAAGATTTATTTTCCAAGATTCTTTTCAGAGTACAAAAGTTCATTAAGAATAGGTTAGGAACATGTCTGTATCCAAGAGATTCATGCATTTGTCAAACAAAAGGAAATACTGTTGTTAAAATAGAATCTTATCTTGTAACAACAAAGCAATGAAGCTGATACATGATGTAACCAGCTCTGGAAATAAAACTGTCCAAAATCTATTTTTAAAGTTCCACCCCAAAAATGAATACTTTCAATACTTTTGGTGGGTGAATTATTCTAATTTATTTAAAATAGAGCTGTAATAAATAGGTCTGCAAAATCATGAGGAAATAAAATGAATTATTCACAAGCATACTACCTTTCCTCATCACTAAGAGCCAAAGTATTGGTTACTTTAAAGAAAAAGCAAGCAACCTTAAACGAAGTACTGCCAAACATCAATCCACCATAGACTACAATTTGGCAATACATATTGCAGGCATGGCTCTGATCATAGCAGAGGGAAGCGTAAAGCCCCTGTACCATCTGCCCCAGAGTCCTGCTCTGTCTTAGGACACCTTCACTTAATCTAGACGAGAAATAGGCAGCATAAGGCCCATAGAATGCATATGGCCCCTCCAAATTCTTGTGCGGCTTGTCCTCTTTCCCCCAGCTAAAGGCCTACAACCAAATGTCAAGGTCAATTTGTCTTTTCTAAGGCTGTATAAGTGTTTACCACCAGTTATTTTTTGACATGCGTTGGGGTGGCAGCTGCAGTGCAACTCCACAAGGGCATCTAGGGTGGCGGAAAATTGCTGCTTAGACCGGGCTGTAGTGGTCCATCCCTCCTCTAAAATAAGAACGAGAAAGCATTTCTGCTTGCTCTTAGTCTATTCATTTCCACTGTTCTTGTGCCTTATCCTCTAAAAATACTTTTCGTTCAGGCACATTTCCATAGCTTTAAGATCTCAGCTATTGTGTCCATGTTATTGCTATCGAGTTGAGGATTCTAAAAATGAGAGGCATCTTGCCTGCCCCTTCCTTGTATTTGCTAGACTGTTCATTCAATTTATATCTCATATTAAGCCCATTTACAAATGAGACTTTTCAAGCTTAAAATCAATTGGAATGACTAAGGGAGACCTTTTAAGGGAAGAAGGGAACACATTCTCTTATAATGTTGTCCGCCAGCCAAGTCCCATTAGGACAGGACTGTCTTGATGGAGCTTGTTTCAGAAAGCAGACATAAGGTTCACTTCTGTTACGTTCCTATGATATTTGACAAGAGGGGCCAGAACATTTAAATGGATTCTTAAGAAGGAAAGCAATGGAGAAGGGGGTAGTACTTCTATATTATGGATGGTGTCTTTTTGCTTATCTGCAGAGTGCAGGGAAGTAGGGACTCAACTTTAAAGTCAATTTATTTTAGAAATTAAAAAACCTCTAGTATTTTCTGGAGTTAATGACAGGCACAGTGCTATATTCTTTTCATGTAAGTTGATGGGCGTTATGAATTATACGTCTGCAACTGTCACACAATCTTCTTCAAATTAGGAGGACTGAACTGCACATCAATGGCTCACTTATGTATAGATACTCGAGTTATTTATGGGATCTATACTGTGACATGGATTGGTTCTCCACTAGTTGCATTTTTGGCACGTGTATGGGATTCAGAGTGTTGTTGAAACGAAGGCATTCCACGCTACATGGCTCTTTCTTTAAGATGTTTCTTGCCCTGTCGCCTCCCACTTCTTACTACAAGGGAATGGCAGTGGCTTGAGATGCAGATAATGGCTGTGTTGGCAAATACTGTTAACCCACGGTTAGGGCTGGGATGAACCCTTTCAGAATCCATCCCTCTAGCATACAGAATTCCTCTTGGGCTTGGCCCAGTCCTGCAAGCTCAGCCAAGAGAAAGTCTGCAATGCTCATGGAGCCTCAGTTTAAAAACTGGCATTTTTTTCCCATCAGGTGCAGTTGCCCAAAGAGGTGCTTCAAATGGTTGCAGCTGGCAGTGCCAGGAATGCACACTGAAGAGGGGCACTGCTTGTGCAGCAATGGGACACAATTACTGGTGAGCACACCGTAAATGCTGGGAGTGCTAACCAGCAACCGGGAGTCAGGACCACTGCAAGGTAGACTGGAGTCTGGGAAGTCATGCCCAAATGGCTTTCTTGCACATCCCTACCCTGGTATGTGTTGTTGAATTCTGGGTTGTCATGATATGTAAAATCAGCCATGCTAGCAAACTACGGTTTGTTAGCCATGAACAACCCAGAAAAAGAACTTACTGTTTGTTTTGGAGTTGTGAACTCTGGGTTGTTTAAACCATGAGTTGTGATTACATGTGACCCCAAACCCAAGTTCTCCATGGAGTGGTTTGTCGAGATACAGAGGTGGCAAGCAAGAGTGGTAAAAAACCAGAGTTGTTCCACATGTCAGTGCTACAGTACCATAAAGGCATTTGGGAGTATGTGATGCATTAGAGTAACAACAACCAAGGGATTTTAAAAAACACACATATACCTTTTTTCAATCATTTCCCAGAAAAAACTGGTTAGGGCAAACCATGGGTTTCAAACCAGGTCAGATATTTAATTGTTTGATCTAGCACTCCTTGGATCCTAGAAAGATGACTTATCTTAATGCTGCCCCTCCATGACCTAAGGAAAAGAGGAGGGCTTGAGAGGTGGATGAGAAAGGTGAAATGCGAATCCATGATAGACCA